GAGAGAGAGAGAGAGAGAGAGAGAGAGAGAGAGAGAGAGAGAGAGAGAGAGAGAGAGAAGTTGGCCTGAAATCCCATTAGGAAAAAAGAGCACCGGCACCTGTTCAAGAGAGTACTGACTCTATATATTTGTTACAAAATATTAATGTCTGTTTACAACTTTACAACAAACTTGAGCAAAGTTCCGCAAACTGATTACTTGGTTGACACCTCCTCCTTCTCCTTCACATGCTTCTGCCTCTGCTTCAGTGTCTGTGTTTTTAAGAGCATGGCTTTCAGCTTCTCACGCTTCTTGTCCGCCTGCTCCAGACGCTTCTGCTTCAAGGCTGCAACCCTTTGCCGCGCTTCTCTTGTCTCCGCATTCACCTGCATGACAAGCCCCCCCCCTCACTCTTTCAGAATTCACACCCTCTGAAGAAATCATGACGGTAATGATCACCAATGTATTTGTCGTTCATGTCTCTCTTTCAGCGAGACATGAAGGGGAAAGAACAGATTAAAGAAAGGAACGCCAAGAATTGCTGGTCCATCACGACCATCATCAACGCCCTTGAACAGCACACTGTAGACTCCATGTTAAACTCTGACGAAAATGAATACCAAAAACAGAAGAAAACAAAAACCGCTCAACTGTCTGATTGATATGGGTGCGTTTTTGGCTCATGTTGTTCACTGTAATAAAAAGAAGCTTACAAAAAAAAAAGAACAAGATATGGGTGCGGCCCTAGGCTGGGCCGCCGCCCGGCCAGGCGGGCCCGGGGGGGTCCACCCGGGAAATCCAGGCGGCGCAAAAACCCAGCAGGGAATTCTTTTTTTCCCCCCGAAGACGAGGCTTTCCTGCGCTACCCCAGAGGACCCCAAATCTGCAATAAAAAAGTAAACTTTGGGAGGGCCGGGGGGGGGTTCAGGGGGTTCAGGGGGTTCAGGGGGTTCAGGGAGGGTTGGGGGTGGTGGTTCAAGGGGAGGGGGGGGTTGGTTGACAGTAGGTAAAAGCAGGTGCTGTTACGGACTTCGCCAGGGCTCGATCCCTGGTCTATCTTTTTGCTGTTTCAGCTGCATCCCGTTTTCGGCCTGGCGCCCTTTTTCCAAACTACTCCTTTGGTACCTTAGGATTTCGGACAACTGGCGCCATGCTGCAATTCGGGCGCCACTTTCAAATACTGCATTTTTCAGTTCTGCCCTCGGGGCCTTTGCAGAAATGCCCCTGGTACCGTACGTG